CGTACATCAGATGTTGACTTTTGTGATGACGTTGCAGGTAAGCTTTCCTTCTGATGACTCTTCCATGTAGATCATATTTATGCCACAATACTCTTATGTCAGCTAAACTGTCCTACAGGTCCTTAGTGCTGTATGGCAGTATTGCTTTGCCATTCTGGCCTGAATGTGGGTAGACCAATTTTATCTGAAAGTTTTTTTTTTGGTCTTCCAGATCTTGCCTTGGCTTCCACAGTTCCCCCTTAACTGCCATTTTTATTAACATTTTGGACAGTGTAAACTGCGAGCTGGACGCTCTTTGATTTTTTTTATGGTCTTCCCCTGCTTTATATGCATCAATTTGCTTCATTTTCAGATCCTTTATATTCAGCTGCATAGAGTAGACCATAGTTGTTTAGTGTTACAAGGTTTGAAGATTCAGAGAATTTATTAGGCTCTGGAATTGTTATTCTTAGTGACAATTCTTGAACTGCATAATGACTACTAAGTTAAGTTAAGGCCTAATGAGTTGAATAAGTTCTGAGACTATAACTAGAAAAGATGTTGAAATTTTTGCACATGGCAATTATTACTATTTGATTTTTTCCTATTTTTAAGTTCCTCAAACATGAAGTAACTGTGCATAATCACTTGCATACACACCCACACACACACACACACACACATACACACTGTTGTGCCCAAACTTTTGCATGTAAATGTAGCTAGTGAGTGTATGTACAGTGAGGGTAAATAAGAATTTGAACACTTTTTTTATTTGATGTACTTCCAGTGCATATGTCCACATCAAATTAACACATATAATGACTCTGTGCATATAAATATGAACATGGTTTAGTCATTACAGACAGCACCAGAGCATTCACACAGAAGAGAAGCCATTTCACAGTGTTGGAAAAATGTTATACACACACAAGTCATATCAAAGGTCATAAAGGCATGCACACAGGTGAGATGCCATATCATTGCTCACACTGTGGAAAGAGGTTCACTTATCTCAAGATATTTAATTAATAAGTGCCCAAATATAGAGCAGTCAGCTTGTGGTTTTTGCTGCAGTCAGGCTGGTTTGAGTGTATTACAAACTGCTGATCTCCTGGGATTTCCATGCCCAACAGTCTATAGAGCATGTTGAATATTAGGGGAAAAAACTTACTTTTTTTTAAAATCTTAAATCTTCACCTGTCCAATTTCTATGAGCCTGTGCCCACAGTAGCCTCAGATTCCTGTTATTGGCTG